AACTGCTGCGTATCCTCCTTCCTCCCAGTGACTACCCCCCAGGCCACCTCTTCAGGTTCTGCTCTTCATCTGTCACTTGTCTTTCTCATCAAGTATTGTAGGGTTTCCTTTGGTTCAAATTTTCATGCCACTTTAATGGTTTTCCCTTTCCTCAGTGAGATCCTGTGTTTGATTTTGCTTCAGTTCTGTAACTATAAAATGAAGATGCTGGTGTCGCTCATTGAAACAGAGCAGTCCATTAAGCATTCTCTGTCCTGTATCGGGCCAGTTGGACACTGGCATCTCTCCTGATTCTTTTCCCCTGGGGAAAGTTTTTACAGCTATGTAAGTCCTATGCGTAATGCACAGCTGGGTTTGCTGCTGCTGCTGCTCAACAGAGTGTGCTGTGGTGTGGAGTGGCAGCTACCTTTGGAAAGGTTACAAAGGATGAGAAAATAGGCTGATTTGTACCAATTTGGACCAGGGAAAGAAGGCTGTGGTGGATCCTAAAACCTGGGTTAGACTCCAGGGCTGCCAAGGTCAAAATCTTCATTTAATTATTTACAAGGTACCATGCAACCAGAAATGTGTGACATTTTTCTGTCATGGAGCCAGTAGGAAAGAAAAAAGCCAGGTTCGTCTTTTTCTTTCCTTCTCTCTCTCTCTCTCATTCAATATATTTTGTTGCTTTCATTCTGTATACTGTTCTTCAGAATGATTCTTTGAAAATACTTCCCTGCTTCAATGCCAGCACTCAGTCACAGATAATCTGCCCCAAGTATGCCTGGTTTGGGACATTTTGTTTTGGTCTAGTGCTGTTCAGCCACTTGTGTCCTGCAATGATAAGCATACTACAATAACTTACATTTTTTCATTTTTCATTTATCTATTTTCTGAAGTCACTAAAGAGAGATTTATACAGACTAAACTTTCTCATCTTCCATAAAACCAGGAAAAAAAATTTAATGGGTAATAAACCAGGAAAGGCCTCTGCACTGATGTTTAATAGCTTGAGTCTACTGATTGCGGTTAAGCTTTTCCTAGATTAAATCTGAGCAAGTATGAAGAGAAGCAAGCACAGTGAAGAGGCTGTATTTGAAGGAACCTCAAATAATAAACAAATCTGGATGTTGAAGCAAAAAGAGAGATGGGAATAAAGGATGTGTGTGAAGCCATATAAACAAAAAATTACCACTCCTGGTTTGCAGCATTTGGAGACATTAGCTAAGTTTCATGCAGTTCTCTGAGGTCTGTGCATGGTCTGTTAAGGTTCTACAGTGTGTTTTTTTGTAGCATTGAGGTTCCTTATAAGAAAATCATGTCGAGGTCTAGTCTTGTCAGAACTAGTATTTATGTCAATTCTGGATTCCAAAATTAAAGAACATTAAATTAAGGCAATGCACAACAGTAAGACATGCACCGTTTTTCTCATCATGATGATACATTTCTCATCATGATGATATATAAAAAGAACTATCTCGAGGAATATCAACTTCCTCCAAGGAGCAAATAATTCATGTAAATGTCAGGAATTAGAGATAAAAATGGAGATCCACAACAGAAGCATGGATAATGCAGAGGAAGAAAAGAATCTCTGTAGGAAGGGTTTCCATAGTATATGGAATAGAAGCTATAATTAGGATATTATGGAAACACTGAAGATTTATTAAATGTGTTAATCACAGCGTGGAGCAGCTGAACACAGGTTACATAGTTCCTGTGAGTGTTCATACTATTCACTAATTCATCACTTGGACTAGTGAACCAAACAGGCTCACCTGTGTTTGAGACAAGAGATGCTCTTGTGAAATCTTGTGTCTGATAGGAGGTAACAAGAGAGAAGCTGCCAAAACCTGACATGCTGGAAAAAAAGGGGCGTTCTAGGCTGGGTCGTGAATGGTCAAGTCTTGGAGTGAGAGGTGACTGTTACATAGGGCAGAGAAGGCTGACAGAATGTTATGCTGCAGAGCAAAAATAAGTTGCAGATCTCAGGACCTGCAGTGTGGTGTGGTGGTACAAAGGGAAATGCTCAGATCTCTGTGATTCAAGATCCAGCATTATTTGTGGTGCCAGCTGCGTCCCCTGTGGCCAGTGCATGTCTGACATCCCGTTACTGTCTCAGGTAAATCTAATTAATTAAAATACTTTATTTTCAGTAATAAGTGGCTTTTTTGTTGTTGTTGTTGAAATGGATATTCCATAGGTATAACAAAAAGGCAAAAGGAAGTTAAATTAGCCATATCATTGAGGATGTAGAGGTCTAAAAATCGTGCTATGCTGTAGTGCTTTCCATCAGAATAAAATATTTCTTATGCAATGAAATCCAAGATGAGTTGTTACTGTGACAATGTCCATGTGACCATTTATTTTAAAAGCTGTATTTTATATTTTCTAAGTGTTGACTCTGATTTAGATCTGAGAGTCGACGCCTTATTGCTGGAGGAATTCTTAGAATGCAATTATGTACATATGTACTTAAACACTCCTTGGCTTCT